ACAATGTGCTTCATTAGAAGAGAAAATGCGTCGCGTGCAGTTGCAGGAAAAACGACAGGAATTGCAGTCTCGGATTGATGGGCTGACAAGCAAGTTGGAAAAGGATCAGGCGGCAAAATCCAGTAGCGCTGAAATTCAACATGGCGGCGACCGGCAAGGTCAACCTACGCCTCCACAAGCTTGGGATCACCCCACTCAAAGAGGTAATGTGCCTCCAAAACGTAACATTTCTGACTATCTATGGATAGATTCCCTTGATAGGGACACAAGTACTGTCGAAATTGCCGAAGGGATAACTTTGGGCATGAATACAAGGTCAAGCGGAAAATTGAGTAACAACACCATCGACATGTGGAACTATGCCAGTATGGGAATTCTTCAGGATATGATTGACAAGGGAAAGATGGATATGGCAGGGATAAGTGACTACCTTAAATATATGCAAAATGTCTGTAGATTGTCTTCGAAGTACGTGTGGGGTAGTGTCCTCTTGTACGACCAAGAGTACAGGGATTTACAGCATCGTGATCAGTTCCGGTGGGGAAACCCATTACAGGATATTCGTGAGTTTCAACTTGTTCCAAAACCTGACTCAAATACAGCGAAAGCATTGAAGCAGATGGATAATGCAAATATGAGCGGCAACGTTCATAAGGGCGCGAACGGTCACCATAGCAACAGGCAGCGGGGCCCATTCACGGCTGATGGGATTGAAATTTGTCGGCGCTTCAATGTCGGCAGTTGTGTTCGGGGTGATCAGTGTAAGCTACTACATGCATGTTCGGTGTGTACTAGAAGGGGCCATACGATGCAATTTCATGGTGGGAGTCACACACAGTCTACACAAGCAAGCAGTAACGACTACTTGAACCAGTCAAAAAAACTTTTAACTAACACACTGCATTACGACGTATGGGAAACCCTTCTACCACATGATTACGCCGATAGAGACTATATTCTGTCAGGTGTTAAAGAAGGTTTTAAGTTAGCAGAAGTTTCTGATGCCGTTCTCCAGGATGTGTTTATTGCCAATCATAGATCAGCTTATGGTCATAAAGAGGCGACAGAAAAACAAATAAAAGAGTAATTAGAAGCCGGAAATTATGTAATTACAGAGACAAAACCAACAATAGTGAGTGCAATGGGTGTTATTCCAAAATCTGACAAGAAAATCCCATCTATCATGGTATGAACAGTTTTATGAACAATTGTGACTGTGAATACATGGACATTAGAGAAGCAGTGCGACCTGCAAGTGTTCTAGCAAATGTGGACTTAAAACATGCGTACAGATCGGTACCAATACATCCAAGCAACTATGACTTAACAGGACTAGCATGGCATTTTGAGAATGGTGATTTTGCTTTTATGTATGACAGGAAGCTGCCTTTCGGTGCATCCAAAAGTCCCCTGATTTTTCAGACTCTTAGTTCTGCTGTTTGTAGAATAACGAAAGCGCGCTTTTGTTTCACAGTTATAGCATATTTAGATGACTTTCTGATAATATCGGATAATGCTGTTTTGTGTAACCGTGCTCTAGAAAATTGATAGAAGTATTAAGAGCTCTGGGGTTTAGGATAAACTGGAACAAAGTGGAAGGCCCGAGTCAGATTCTTACTTTTTTAGGTGTTCTTGATAATACAATTGACAGTACTTTAGCCTTACCGGGGGAAAAGGTAAAAGATCTGCAACAATTATTAGCTCTCTTTGCAAATAGATTGAAAGTCTGATTAGAAGTAAGCTCCAGATTGAAAGTCTGATATTCAAGGTAAATCGTTCTTGAATTGGGCCAGTCTAGTTATTCAAGGTCAAGAGATCGTTCTTGAGAAGATTGATTGAACGATATTTCGTGGTGGAGATCCTGTCTTGAAGTGTTCAATTGTTCGAAGAAATTCCTTGATAAGCGTTCAGTACGTACTGTCCAGACGGATGCTTCTTCCCAAGGGGCTGGTGCTTATTACATGGGTGACTTTTTCTATGTAAACTGGCAATGTGACATGCCAGATGTGAGCGATATGCACATTAACGTTAAGGAGTGCCTGGCCATAGTTTTATCAGCTATCAGGTGGTCATGTGCATGGCAAAACAAACAAGTTGTAGTAAAACTGACAATATATGCGCAAAAGCCATGATTAACAAGGGGACCTGCAAGATACCGTTTGTCATGCATTATTTACGCTGTTTGTTTTGGTTACAAGCAATTAATAACTTCTCAATTACAGCTGAGTATATCCCGGGTTTGAAGAACAAAGTAGCAGATGCAGCCTCCAGAATGCATGAGGCTGGCAGCTTGTCACGGCTGTATGATTTGATCCCCAGTCTGTCTTTGATGGAATTCTCAAGTCGCAATCTAGAGAATCATATGTCACGAACGTTTATTAATTGCTGATGGGGAGATGGGATGTCGTCTTCAAAGCGGAGTGCAGCCTAGGGATGGGCAGATTAAACCAAAACTACGTACAGGTCTCAATTTAAATGTTTCATGTTATTTTGTGACAAGCTGCATCTGCAGATGGTTCCTGTGCCACTGTCAGAGGAAAGTGTAATGTTGTATATTGTCTTTTTGGTGGATGTTAAACAATTTAAGTATGCGACAGTGAGACAATATCTGAGTATTATCTCCAATATACACAAAGAAAGTGGCTTAGAGGCTCCAATCAAGGAAAACTGGCGCATAGCACACGTTCTGCATGGTGCTAGACGAGAGTTAGGAGACTCTCAGAACCCAGCCACAGCCATTACGCCAATAATCTTCTAATCATCAAGGACAGTGTAAATGACAGTGTGTTTGGTGTGACTATTTTCGTCGCTTGTCTCATAGGTTTTTGGGAGTGATCAGACCATGTAATCTTTTAGTTACTGGAACTGGAACTCGTGATAATTCGAGGTTGTTGCTGATTAAACAGTTGTAGGCGTGTCGCGACGCTTATCGGATTGTGCTGAATTGGTCAAAAATTCTTCAGTTTAGAGAAAAAACTTTGCATGTATATCTACCAAAACTTCCAGATCACCCTTTAGATCCGGTTACGGCAATTGACGGACTACTTCGCATACATCCCGGCCGGGGTGACACATCACAGCCGCTGCTGTGTGACAATCAGGGGAACGCTCTATCTTACAGGACATTCATTGATACAGTACAATATATTATGAAATCCCATGGTGTGAAGGAGAATATTACTGGCCACTCGTTTAGACGAGGAGGGGCTACTTGGGGTTTCCCGTCGGGTCTAGCAGGAGAGATTGTGCAGGATTTAGGGTTTTGGAAGAGTAACGCCTACCTGCGTTACCTGGACATTAGCGCAAAACAAAAAACTTGATGCGATGAATCAGTTTGGAAGATCCCTGCCTGCACATCGGTGAAGGTGGTTTATGGTAGTTGAAAATTGAGTATTGATTGTGTAACACTGATTGCTGTAGATATGGATCTTGTAGTCTTTCCAGATAGTGTGGAGTACATGTACTATAAGTTAACTCTTCCACGTTTGTTGGTTTGGACTGTTGTAGGTTGTGCAGCCATTTTGCCGTATTGAGTCAAAAATTATTCTTTTAATCTTTATCTTTTATACATAATGTCCAGTTATTCATTGTTTATGTAAATGATATTGATGATGACTTAGATTGCATAACGCGATTATTTGCAGCTGACACATCATTAGGCAAGGCTTCTGGAAATCTTAACAGAATAGAAACCTAAACATAAATCTCAGAAGGTTAAACGAGTGGGCAAACAAGTGGTTGATATCATACAACCCAGATAAGACAGAATCAGTACTTTTCTCACTTAAAGATGATATTTGCTCGATTAACTTACTATTTGACGATAAGATTGTTAAAACGGTAGAAGATCATAAACATTTGGGGATAATACTTTCATCGAACGGCAAATGGTCCTCCCATGTATCTAATATTGTTTACAAAACCTCTAAAATGATTTACTCAATGAGAAAACTTAAATATATTCTTAACAGAAATACACTTCTAAAGATTTACACAGTTTTTATAAGACCACACTTTGAGTACGCATGCGAAGTCGGGGATGGCTGCGGAAAAGAACTAAGTTTATAAATGGAAAGGCTCCAGATGGAAGCTGCAAGAATTATTACAGGACTTCCCAAATATTCTTCTTTTAATTCACTATATTATGAAACAGGCATGGAAGCACTATCAGAGCGTAGAAGAATAAGAAAATTGTCTTTGTTCTACAATATTCAAAACAACAAAAGTCCAATCTACCTAAAAGAAATAATTCCTCGGAACGTGGGCTCCAGGAGTCAATATAATCTAAGAAATTCAGGCAATATCTGCTTGCCAAGAACCAGAATAAAACATTCTCATGAGTCGTTCTTCCCATCAACTATAAGATTGTGGAACAATCTACCTACAGATGTAAAAAATTGTACTTCACTATCAAAGTTTAAATCGAGCATAAAAACATCATATAACTCAGCTCCACTGTACTTTTCTTACGGTATTAGAAAATTTAACATATTGCATACTCAACTACGTCATGAAGCTAGTAGATTAAGTTACGATCTGTGCAGAGTAGGGCTAATCACTGATCCGTCCTGCGCATGTGGAAACCCATGCGAAAATGCTCATCACTATTTCTTAGAATGTTCTTTACACAATCAACATAGAAAGATCATGCTTAAAGCTATTCAAGATGTATGTGGTAGTAATTCTGTGATTACATCATCTGTTATTTTAAACGGCATTGCAGATCTGACAAATCATAAAAATGAAATTATATTAAAAAATGTACATCAATATATATGCAAATCTAAACGATTCCAGTTGTCTTCTCTCTATACACCTTTTGTATTATAGCATTTCCCCCTGCTATCTTTCAGTCTTTCTCTGTCTCTGTTTCTAATAATTGCTTGTGATGTAATTAGTTATTGTAAATATCTTCGGAGAGGGGTTTAATAAGTTGAAAGAACTTGTCCCCGATCCTTTTCACATTGTGAATAAAATATGCTTAAACTAAACATTTTATTCTCTCTGGGCTGGGGGAATTTGACTATCTCCTATTTGTGAGCCACCGCATGTTGGCCTACTGATTTCCTGTTGCATGTTCTCTCAGCCTGGAAGAATAAATGCCAGTTTTTAATTCCAATGCATATGCTTTTGTAATTATTGCTAGATTACTTAAAGATGGTAATTTTCACCTCACTGAAATAATACAGGCTTCCTGAATAGATAAGTGCAGACTTTAAGTGCTTATCCGACTATCCAACCTCGAAAGATCCCACTCAAAGAAGTTTCCTGAATAGCCTGAGTATCCCGGATAAGAATGAGCACCACGTCGGCCTTCTCGTAACTTTGATGTTATGTGAGAATCGAGGCAAGAGCTAACTCCCATTATAGACCTAAGAAAGAGACCTCAGAAGATTCTCCAAATCCCTGGGTCGGAATATAGTGGAAAGGACCACAGGGTTGTGGTACTCTGTGGCACTTTCCAGAAATTTGTCTAAATATGGTACACCATTGCTCCTCACTGAGCACATGTGCAATGCATTATACTTTGAACATCTTTACACAGTGAATAGCACCGACACAAACAACATGTAATCTTATTGTGTGTACCAGTGATTAAAACTGATCCAAGTGTTCATGGGGTAGCCTATATCACTTCAACTTATATACAAGATTGCGTGCACGTCCACATCCTCGATAATCTCCAGGGTATATACGTTACGAACACACTCCACTATACCCTGGATGCATCCACGGCTTGGCCCGATAATTATATTACCTCCTATTGCTGGCTCCGCATTCTCACAGTAGCCAATCAGCTAAGCCGCCGTTACATCCGAGCTTGCCAATATCAACAAAGATAGAGGTCGCAGTCGCGAAGGTTTGTTCGCAGTGCCACTCAGATTTTGTAGGAAATAATTAAGACAAATTGACAGATCTGAAACTTTCACAAAATATATAAAAGAACGCCTTCTACCTCTTTCAGAGTACCTCTGCATCAATTGTGTTGCCAAGTTTAAACGGTTAGATAATTAAGAAGCGAAAGTGATTTGTGATTTGTTCGCTTAACTTCCCAGCGTAGACACCTGATTGGATAAAAAGCCAGCCAAGGGAGGTAACAAAATCATCGTGCCAAGCGGTGGATGCATCCAGGGTATAGTGGAGTGTGATCGTAACGTATACCCTGGAGATTATCGAGGATGGCACGTCCAGTGATAGGCTGCATCTGAAGCCTTTCTCTGTGACGTCAACTCTGTCGACAACACAAACGGGCATGCTCTGCATGGTACACATTTCCAAAATTTACGAATCAGTTATGTTCCGTGTTGTTTCAGGTGAAGTAACTTGCCTGCGCGTGTGTTTGTTTCATTTCATATGAATAAAGAAATGGTTTTATGTTCCGTGTTGTCTCAGGTGAAGTAGCTTGCCTCTGCGTGTGTTTGTTTCATTTCATATGAATAAAGAAGGGTTTTATGTTCCGTGATGTTTCAGGTGAAGTAACTTGCCTGCGCGTGTGTTTGTTTCATTTCATATGAATAAAGAGGGGTTTTATGTTCCGTGTTGTTTCAGGTGAGGTAACTTGCCTGCGCGTGTGTTTGTTTCATTTCATATGAATAAAGAAGGGTTTTATGTTCCGTGTTGTTTCAGGTGAGGTAACTTGCCTGTGCGTATATTTGTTTCATTTTATATCAGTAAAGAAAGGGCTTTATGTTCCGTGTTGTTTCAGGTGAAGTAACTTGTTTGAGTGTGTTTGTTTAATTTCATATCAATAAAGAAAGGGTTTTGTCGCCTTTTTCAAACACCCCACCATTCTGCTACCGCCAATACCTTAAGCACATGAAGATGGAAGCACAGAGTTTCAATTGTATATTACGAACAACCTATATCATTGATTGGAGGACTTCGGTCATGTTTTCGTCTGGAGTTGCTCGTCGCCATTGGTCGTTTGGTTCTAATGCAATGCTTAATTTCTGAAAAGAAAAGTCAGCATTCATTATATATTGTCCACTGGCAGGCTTTCTCTAAAGGCAGAAGAAAACCCTGACTGTACAAATGCAATCTGTAAACAACTAATGGGAAACGCAGCTTTTATTCACTGGACCAGGCATACGTAAAGTGTGAAATGAAAACCCATTTGTAGTATCAACTGTTTTATAAGCTGCCAGAAATGTATCTTAAACACTTCAAAACAGCTATGAGTGAGTTAAAATGTAAAGTTACGTTGGCAATATTTCAGCCACATTTTGGCTGAAATAAGCTTTACTGCCATTATACCTTAAAAACCGAGAGAGAGCATAATAACTAGCAATTGTTATGCTATAACCCAAGCCACAAGAAGACCAGTATTGTGTGTGATCACTCTATACCCTGGATTGGATTACTCTTGCTGACACCCGTTTAGATCCGGGTTAGAATTGATCTTCAGTTACCCATGCTTGTGGTAAGAGGCGACTAACGGGGTCGGGTGGTCAGGCTTGCTGACTTGGCTGACACATGTCATTGTATCCCAATTGCGTAGATAGATGTTCATGCTGTTGATCACTGGATTGCCATGGTCCAGACTTGATTATTTACAGACCGCCGCCATATGGCTGGAATACTGCTGAGTGCGGCGTAAAACTAAACTCAATCAATCAATACTGTTGCTGATAGATATGTTACCATCTTTATTGCTATACTCACTTCTCATGAATTATTTTACCTTTGAGCTTGTACGGTCATAGGGATACCTTTGTACATATTTGTATTGACTTGTGAACTTAATATTAGAATACAATTGTTCATTTCAGCAGACTTCTTTGTGGTTTGTTCGTTTCACATCTTGTTTTAAGGGGGCTAATTCCAAGGTAACGTTTTCAAAGTGAGAATCAACACGTAACACAATGTAACAAATTGTTTTCAAACTAATCCGCATACAATACGGTAGGGTAGCCTAGTGGTGGAAGCGTTCGCTCGTCACGCCGAAGACCGGGGTTCGATTCCCCCCATGGATACCATGTGTGAAGCCCATTGCCGGTGTCCCCCGTCGTGATATTGGTGAAATATTGCTAACAGCGGCGTAAGACCTCGATACAATAATAAAAACGGGGCTATGGACCACAAGTGAGAAAGGTAAGGCTTATATTACTATTGGCAAACATCGATTCAGTCAAGTTAATTAAATGGGACAAATGTATAGAATTACATCCTGGCTTACAACCACTGAAGATACTCCAGTGGCCTTTTCACACGGTGGGGCAAATCTATGGCATGCAGTATACTGTCGTAAGTCAAACGTATCTGTGGTTTTGAGATATGTCTGTTATAAACATAAAACTGACGGTTTTACATCTCGAACTAAGAGTTGTTAATATCATTTAACAATCCTTCACAGTTCCACTGTATCAAAACAACTATGACGAATCGCGTCACATCCGTGTATTTCACAGAAGAGACGCAGCTTACTTCTCCACCCATTTACTAGTTTAAGAAATGAAGAATTTTCAGACCATCCGATGTGGATTTGAGGGCAATAAAGAAGACATGTGTCCCAGCAGTTATTGATTATTCAAGTGAGTGAGTGAGTTAACCACTAGGCTACCCCACCGCCCCGGTTATTCAAGTATACGCATGCAGTGAAAAACTATGCTCATGTCAGCTATCTTCAATGGCAAGAGACCCGTGAAGTTCCGGATTAAAGCTAGTCTTCAGTAACCCTCGTAGGCGACTAACGGGATCGGGTGGTCAAGATCGATGCTCCTACTGTTTATTACTGGATTGTCTGGTCCAGACTCGATTATCTACAGACCACCGCCATACAGCTGGAATATTGCGGCGTTAAACAACCAACCAACCATCATTGGCAAGTGACCTACCTCTTTAAGAGAAGACCCACTTGTGGTGACAACCGTCCAGATGAAGATGATTGGGAAAGGCAGGACTGATACAAGTGATATCATCCAACCGACTACATTGGCCCAGGCTGGGAATATGTACGTCCCGTACTTAGGAGGTCGGTAAGAATACACGGAATGCCCAAATATCACCTAAACAGAAGGAATTTCGTACGTTTGAACAAAACAACATGTAGCACTTCGAATATAGTGGAAGATTATGAAGTTTTGTTGAAATTACAAGCAGGAGTTCATGCTGATGAACCAGAAAACTATATAATAAGTTCAACATGTAGTATTCACTTGTTGTTGGGTCATTTAGCTGCTCAATAGGTAAGTGTAAATATATTTGAAATTAGTTTTAGTTATTTTGGGCAAGGACGAAACAAAACAAACGTCCTCCCGTGTATTCACATTCACATTTCAGAAAGAAAGGAAGAGTTTACCATGATAAGAAGAGGGCAGACATATTTGATGGCGGCAGATATAATGGGTGGCGTGTTCTTGCCCCACATTGTTCGAACGTCTTCTTGCAACTTCCGTATTCCTGTAATATACCGTATACTTTAGTTCATACATCTGCTAAATTCTTGGACTTAATTAGATTACACTAAGGTGGAACTGTATGCTTGTGGATGGATAATTTTGTTATTTTTTTAATGTATTGTTCACTGCTGGGATGACCACATACCAAGCGTAATAACTTAATGTTTTCGTGCACCGTAGGCTTTCCAGAACCGACTATTTAAACACAGTCTTGCAGTACATGGAAGATCGGAAGACCATAGTTTGCTTCCGCGCCAAATGTGTGTCATCGTCCTGTAGTAGGTTGGCTCTAAAACAGCATGACCCTGATTTGTTGTCAGGTTTGCGGAGGCGGAAAATAACATTCACTCTTTTTTCACACATCATAAATTACCGTAACACCAGCCGACCCCGATGCACTCCAAAAGAGCATAAAGAGCTAAGGCTGGGAAGTAGGCGAACCAGTCAACCAGGGTGATCACGTAAAGCCCACCCTGCAAATAAGGGATAGCACAGTTTAAAGCAGTGTGACCTTTTTAAACCAGACGCTACGTTCATGTCGTAGGCAGTGGCGGAATATGTGGCGGGATATGGGTTTTATCAGGGAATATTGACACGTTTGTATATTCTCTGAGTTAAGTTAAAGTTCTTTCATCTAAATCTACATCGCAGTGCTGTCAATATAAATGAAATAACAGCAGCTTATTATCATGCCCATCAGCCCAGCCATGCACAGGTCATCTGCGTGTAATGAATCTAAATTAACCGCGTATGGCCGGTCAGTGTATTTACTATGTGCTCTGATGCTGCTTCTGTAAAGACGTAGTGTTACATTGTCGGGGTGTACCTGTCATGTACGATGATACGATGACATGTGTCAACCAAGTCAGATCTTCACGGGCTTGTTCTACAAAGAATTACCTGCGTAATGTATAAGAAGCCAAACAGGAACATAATGAGCAGCACTGCGAGGATGGTCAACCAACGACGTTTTGTCCATCGTGGGAACTGGTCTTCCAGGGACGCTATTATAATATCTATCCCCGGAACCTGAAAATAAGAAAATTTTCTAATGGAATCGTCACTCTTCGCTTTTTCAAGTATCTGTCACATACTGTTAAATGTCAGAGCTAAAGGATTGTCTCAGCTAACTGAAAATGTATATTAATATTTACCGAAAACTGAGTACGAATCATGTAACAAAGGTCTCATGGATAAAGTGGCAACTGTCAATTCATACGTATATATGTACATTCAGTATATACAGGGTGATATCATCTCGCTAAGTACGCTTATGAATAACAATTGGTGATTGGATGGTGAGTGTAGAAGGTTGCTATGGGTTATCACGTGATTAGGAACAGTTAGGATCGCGGGAGATCCCGCTGACCGCTGATCATTGTAACAGATCACACACTGAGTAAGTTGGGTTTGTTTTATTTGCTGCTAAACGCTGTACCCAGCAATAATCCAGCTGTATGGCGGCGGTCTGTAAATAATCCGATCTGGACCAGACAATCCACCGAACAACATCATGAGCATCGACCTACGCAATGAAACGTGTGAACCAAGTCAGCGAACCTGACCCCCCATTCCCGTTAGTCGCCAATCTAACACGGATCTTAACGGGTTGACTGAGTTGAGAAAGCGCCCTTTCAACATATTCTCAGGCTAATCTTGGTTTCTCACAAAGACACCTCCATGACATCACGGAGGTGTTTATCCTTAAAAAATACATCACTGACAAGCGTAAAATCCAGCTCCCTCTCCCGAAAAATTACCATCGTGTCTACAGCAAGGGACATCAAAGTCAGGAACGTCAAGACCGACCACAGCTGCGGTAGAGGAAGATAAGCCAGGACTTCAGGGTAGACGATGAATGCAAGGTTGAATCCTATGAATGAAGCGGACGTATATCCTTAGCCTTGAGGACATCAAAGAAATAAAGATAATACTATGGAAGCTGTAGGTATCAGTTTTCCCACATATTGGGATTGTCAAATCTCAATTCGAACGATTAAGGCAGTCCTACACACATGAATGAAGATAATCTCTGTTTTGCGTGACCGTATGTAATACTTGTGGCAATGGAGAATACCAGATACTGACTTTTGAAGTTTTAAATCATTCTAAGTGTGATCCCTTGACCACTGTAGCCTAGTGGTTAAAACGTTCGCTCGTCACGCCGAAGGCCCGGGTTCGATTCCCCACATGGGTACAATGTGTGAAGCCCATTTCTGGTGTCCCTCGCCGTGATATTGCTGGAATATTGCTAAAAGCGGCGTAAAATCCAACTCACTCACTTGACCACAAAATTTCATCTTCATGAATGCATCAATGAGTGAGAATCGTTTTACGCCGCTTTTGAACATGTTCGGCAAGCCACATTTGTAATCAATTCAAAATTAGTAGATGTTATTTTTAACCGCTGGACTTGACCCGTGGATCCTATTCGGCTACCTGAAGATGCAAAAGCGTCCACTTCCACTCCGCGAAGGTGAGCTACATGACCAATGATGGAAAAGAAAGCGAATCCGATGAAGACGCCGGAGAGCGCGTCGACGAGGCTACACACCACTGCATCCCTTAAAGAGGAGTGAGTGAGTGAATGAGTGAGTGAGTATGGTCTTATTTCAGCAATAACACGGTGGGGAGCACCAGAAGTGGGCTTCACGCATTGTATTCATGTAGGGGAATCGAACCCGGGGCTTCGGCGTGACGAGCGAACGCTTTAACCACTATACTACCCCACCGCCCCTCGCCCATAAAGAGGAAGATAATGAGGCTAGGGTTTCATCATTGATGGTAAGGTGTCGCCTGAGTGTTAAGTTGCTGCCTTAGTTCGTACGTGTGTCTGTCTGTTGTCTGACGCCGCACTCAGCGCTTTTCCAGCCACCATGATACGGCGGTCTTTTAATAATCGAGGCTGGACCAGACAATCCAGTGATGGGCACAAAGAACATCAACCAAATCAGCGAGTCTGACAACCCGAGTTTGCATCATAAATTCAATTGTGTTTCTTAAATGCGTTGAAGGTAAATGTACGTATAGTGTTACTAAAACTTGAATGTATTAAGGCATAAGTGGGCGGTAGGGTAGCCTAATGGTTAAAGCGTCCGCTCGTTACGCCGAAGACCCAAGTTCGATTCCCCACATGGGTACAATGTGTGGAATCCATTTCTGGTATACCCCTCCGTGATATTTTTGGAATATTGCTAGAAGCGGCGTAAAACCGTACTCACTCACCACTGTGGCATGAGAGAATTCAATACAAAATTAAAACTGTATTCTACTCCAAATTGCATTTACTTGAATATATTGAATATTGAATGTTTGTACCCTAATGCAGTGTTTAAAACTCCCAAAATTCCAAGCCAGACAGCCGGACTGGTAACTTTAAAAAATTACCAGTCCGGATACAAACTTGCCTGTCCGGTTTTCAACAGTTAAGAACTGTGACTGCCATTGCCAACTCGCGCAAGCTCCATTCACTGTTTGTGGGCATCGCAATGAACTACATAGCACTGACAGGCAATGCACCGTGTTTAGGTAAACTGAAAGTACGTGATTGTGATTGGTTATCGTAACATGAACTGTCCAATCGTAAGTAGTTTAACATAATTACCATACTACCTTAAACTCCTCAACCTGGCGGCAAGAGAACCTGTCTGGTACTATGAGATATTTACTCTTAGGGGTAAAAATATCTACTACACCACCGGACAGGCTACTTTTGAAATTTGACCCTCCGAGATGAAAATAGACCGTTCCGGGCGGTGGGGCAGGCGGGGATTTTAAACGCTGCTCTAATGACAGTGTTACGGATACGTACTGTGCTGTACCTACCTGAGACAGTTGTTGTGCTTCTTGTTGTGACCAGACATAGTGATGATACAGCCAGTGGAGACACCAACAGAAAACAGGGCGTATCCACACGCTTCGATCCACACCTACGAGAAGCCATGGTAGTGTATCTCGCTTGCTGAGCCGCCAGTACCAACGGGGACATGTACTATGCATTTTTATTCAGATTCGCTGACAAGAATTAGACTTTACACTAGACTTAAGTCAAAGATATTCCTTGTTTTAACATGGATCTGTTTTGATCTTACGCCGATATTTTAATAATCTAAGTAAGCAGTTATCCCAATATATTAGGCGTACTAAGATGCTAAACAGATGCCCACGTCACGCATTATATTTGATTTCTTAATTAATACAACGGAAAACAGATTTGTAAACGTGAAACATCTTATTGATATAATCGACCATGCATTTATATCAAGACGTCATATGCCCTTTGCTCAGAAGTTGTTCAATCTTGGTTACAACAAGCAAGGCCTCTCGGAAGCTCACAAACGTTTAAGGGTTGACCGGTGGAGGACATTTAAAGTTTGACGCATCACTGACAATATGACTGACTGACTGAGTGTATTTTTACGCCGTTTTTAGCAATATTCCAGCTACATCACGGCGGGGGAACACCAGAATTGGCTTCACACATTGTACCCATGTGGGGGATTCGAACCCGGGTCTTCGGCGTGACGAGCCAACGCTTTAACCACTAGGCTACCCCACTGCCCCACTGATAATATGATGTCTGATGAAGAACGTAAGTATGTCCTTCCCCATCAGTAACACCTGTCACCATCAGTAACACCTGTCACAACTGGACAATTGAGTGCTGTATTGAGCTAATGATATCTGCGCATCTGTGTTATTACGGTGTCTTTTCATGGATAATTGAATTTGGTAATTAGTTATGACATGTTCAATTTGACGAAAAAAGACATGGAAAAAGTGAAATGAGACGCTTATTAGTATTATTGGATATTGGATATTGGATTGTATTTATATAGCGCATATATCCACGCGACTAGTACATGCTCAAGGCGCTAGTATTTTTCCCCCTCGATCATTAGATGTCAATCTCAACGGAAGATCGTATTATCAATCTCAACTCCCCTGAGATAATACAACACTTGCAGACACTAGTACTTACTCTCGGCTCCAGAAGCATTTCGAAATTAGGGTAGATGTAGTAGTACATTCCTTGCAATGACCCCGGAAGTAGACATCCCTGGATGAGGAAGACGGCGATGAGGATGTACGGGATGATCACAGTGATGTAGACAAGCTGGAACAAAATACTTCCTGAAGGCTCCTGACAAACGAACACGCAAGCATAAAACGTTTCCAATTATTTTATGTTAGTTTGTTTGCTTGCTTGACGGTGTTAGAACCTACACCAAAACGTCGCTCTCACTGTAATAAACATATTGTCATCCTTCCTGATAGATCCAACTTCTAAATGCCTCTCAAGGAAGTTAACATCATCTAACTATATGACAACGGCGTAGTATTCGTGGCTTTACCAGACAAACTGGCGTTGATACATTGAGTAACATCAAACAGTATCTACAGTAGTAGATAGGCATTCAGACAAGCATTCAGACAAAGCACCGAGTCTGACCAATCGATCTCATCTCAAATTACACAACACCATCACTTATGATTCTTGCTCACATAAGTGAAACATCAAGCAAATGTGTTTCTGGTTCTAGACCGTACAGTATTCACTATATATATCAACGACTTATAAATGAGTGAGTGAGTGAGTTTAGTTTTACACCGCACTCAGCAATATTCCAGCTATATGGCGGCGGTCTGTAAATAATTGAGTCTGGACCAGACAATCCAGTCATCAACAGCATGAGCATCGATCTGCGCAATTGGGAACCGATGACATGTGTCAACGAAGCCAGCGAGCCTGAACACTCGATCCCGTTAGTCGCCTCTTACGACAAGCATGGGTTACTGAAGATTCAATCTAGCCAGGACCTTCACGAGTGCTTAGACAGGAAAGCTAGTGGGCAATAGCTTCAACACCCGACTTTACGTCGTTTCATATGTTAAGCATTGGTCACTAGTGAGATATTCTGGCCAGGAGTCCCATAGAAATATATAGCTATAGTTTCTACGTTATAGTTATACGTTTCTATTGTCAACCGTAATGAGGTATGATGATACTGAAACAGCCATGGCAAAATGGAATATAATCAACATCATGAGCATCGATCTGCATATTTGGGATACGATGACATGTGTGAACCAAGTCACCGAGTCTCGCAATACCGATCCCTTCTCATGACAAACATTGGTTGCTGAAGACCAATCTTAACCTGGATCTGCACGGGTAAAGGAAATAGGAAACCAAATCGTTTCAATCATGTGATTTGATCAAATGTTCAGGGGATTGAAACATCTTAATGTTTAAAACGACAACAGATTGAACATGTGAGTGAGTGAGTGACTTAAGATTTTAAGTCACATCTGCAATATTTCAGCCATATCGTGACTAAAAACAAGTTTTGAATTCACCATAAATACATGTAAATTATAAAAACCTGTCGACGAAGGACAGTAAAATCAACTAGAATATCACAATATCAAGAAATAAAACTAGCATCCCTCACTAAAATTGGATTTCAAATTAGGACAATACAGCATATAAGTGAGCTATAGATCCCCAACAACTGAAAGTAGATCACCATACTAGGGACCAACGTGAATGGATCATTAAAGACATGTTTGTGTGTTTTGAGATTTATTCAATGAGCATTTTGTAAACATGCTGGCTTATATGTCTGTTTGAACAGGTTCAAGAAAGCCATTAATGTTTCTCTACCGGTTGGACGGCCATCTTTGATTTCACAACATTGTTAATCAGGTTCTTCAATGATACCAGCAGCATAACGTGGTCATTCAACTTCCATTTTCATTTATGTTTTTGTGGGGTTTTTCATTTTTTTTTTTTTTGCGCGATATCGTGGCGATGCGCAATATTAAACTTGAACAACGTGCTAATGTGACCTGTAGCAATAATCACTCATTCACTCACTCACTCAACCCTAGCAGAACATCGGAGAGAATTCCAAAATCGTGCAGGTCTTATACATCTCAGATTGAACATGTACATATATAAAAGTGTTCCTTACCTTTCCAGATACTTTAATTCCTTGAACAACCCATAAGAACAAAATGGCATTCGTGACAACGAGACATCCCGCCAATGGCCATTGTATACTCCCCAGATGTTCCAGACCATTGGATATATTCAGGACATGCAATCTACAGTCAAGACATACATATCATGTACAGAAATATCGTTACAGGTGCACATTTAAATGAAAGGTTTAAAAAATGTTTTAGGGAGAAACGACTTTAAAAATTCACCTGGCACGACGTCTTTGAAAACGAAACATGTCAACGTCTCTGCTCACTGTTGTAACAGATTGATGTATAAAGGATGTTAACATAATCTTATCGGTCCAGTTACATTTCCAAATTAGAATGAGAGAATGAATATTGTCACACACCGCAATCGGTTATTTGCAAAAAGAAAATAAACCCCCAATAACTGGATGTGGCACAAAATGTATTAATATTACCAATGGCATACACACTTTAAATATTGTAGTTACTGCAATTCTGCATTAAATAACATACAACTGCACACATACAGTTTTATATGCCTACCTGGTACTGGAAAATCCTTTCTATTCTTATTGATATTATCTTCCGCGTTGGATATAAACTGTATTAATTAGTGGTTTATGATGAGTTAATGCCATGTGATTAATCAATCAGAATCCAGTATTTTCCATATCCACTGTAACATTCTCATCAGATGCAACAGAATACCATGATGATTAATCAATTAGGATCTAGTATTTCCCAAATTCACGGTAAAAATTCACATTAGGTGCAACAGAATCTACAGAAAGTTAGGTAAAAACTTAATTCTGCATATATGACGTACCTCCAGAACTCCTCGGCTGCAGTTCTACGATCAACATCCAGAACAACTGATGTCACGTTGTCGACAGTTACGTTACTGCTGTCGACAGAAGATGTGTTATCGGTGGACAGATATGATACACAGTCTAAGGTGTTCCAGGTGTTATGGCAGTGAGTCCAGGGCAGCTTGGTTGAGAAGGAGTGATAGAAGTAGTACACGAACCAACCAAAGTAGACGTTGTAGTAGGAATAATATAGCCCTGAGAATATGAGGGCCCCCACGCCAATGCCTACAACATGAAGGGAATAGCTGTGAGAATATGAAGGAAACTCCGATATCTGTAACAAGACGATTATAACCATGGGATATGCTCCTCTCTGCCTGTATAGAGATAATAGGTCTACTCCCATTTGTGAGAACTCCCAGTTGTGAGACTCCCAGTTATGAGACAGTGGAGTAGGTAATTAACAACGAAAACACACCATACTCTCCTGTCTGATAGAATGGATTCACCCTAGCTAATTACTGATTTGCTATGTAACTGAATCTTGTGGAGGTAACTTAATGAAACTTTATAAGATGAATTGATTAACATACTCTAGGTAAATGTCTTTAATAATTAAACACTTTGTGTAGGTAACTTCGTAATCAAAGAGAAATTAATTTACCTACTCAGATTTACTCCGTCTCCGAAACTACAAGCTATAGTTTAAGAAATAACTCTGAAATAACTCTGAAATTTACAGTCGAAATGCCCCTTATGCCAAACCCTTTCTACCCGACACAATAAATGTATGGAATGCCCTACCAAATTCCAAAGAGTCATACAGTCTCAAAGAATTTTAAAACCTAATTACAAAAACCGAAAACAAGATTTATATTGATCTTAATTATGGCTCTTGTTTTTGTCAAATCGTTCACTGCCGCCTCAGGCTCGGATCTAGCGACCCAAACGCCGATAAGTATAACAGACATTTAATAGACAGTGCATGTTGCTCTTGTGGATATCAACTACCCGTTATAACCTGGATAATTTTTTTAACGGAATTTACTCCTTGTGTAAACCAGAAAATAGTTGAATCCGTCCACGATTATATCATCAAGACACAACCTTCAAATTTTCACAGGGAAATACTGAAATTAACTCAAAAACCTTCTCGTGATTGATTTATATTCCTACAATAGCTTGTTAGACACACACAACTGTAACTCTCTAATTATGACTACTTAGAGAATAGTTGTATTTGATGTAATCTGTATATAATTTATTTATATGTACTTAAAAATATATTTATGCAAAAGTCAATATCGATGACGTCACATCCTCCATTTCATTTTATATTTTATGTTGCATGGGTGCGGTGTTAACATAAGCAGTAATACTTCACTAATCCCAATTCATTTTCATAAATAATAATAAAATATGTTTAAACCAAAATGACTTTCAAACTGCATAATAGTCAATAGAAATGTGTTATCATAATTACCTATTCTTCTGAATAAATAAAATATTCAATGAATTATTTCTTCTGCGTAAATAAAATCTTTGATAATCTATTTCATTAATCAACTCATCAATGAACTATGCCTCCTGTGGGTACTCTTCAGCAACTGGGCTGATCCCACTTTCATTGTAGGGATGTGGAAACACCACCTATGTGCACTGAACCATTAATTAATGTGTCTCACAACTGGGACACCGAGATAATATAGCTATAGGAATATGAGTCCTGGTACACATAACCATAGGAATATGAGGGCCCCTGATACCTGTAACGAGAACAGTATAACTATAGGAATATGGTTCTCCTTACAATTATCCTTTGTAGAGATAATATAGCATTAAGAATATGAGCCCGAATCCTAATATATATAACCATTAGAATATGGTGGCCTCTCCTTTACCTGTAGCAAGAATAGTATAAACACAGGAATATGGTCCTCCATGTCAGTATGTATGAAGAGATAATATAGCCATGGGAATATGAGTCCCAATCCTAATACCTACAGCCACGAGTATATGCGGGTTTCGTCAATATGTGTAACAGGACTTGGTTGACACATGTCATCGTAACTTCTTTGAGTGGCATTTTAGAAGCTGGGAAGTACAAAAATTGACAAACTGTATGGATAACAACTTCTTTACTATTTTGTCATGTCATCGTATCCCAATTGCGCAGATCGTTGCTCATGCTGTTGATCACTGGACTGTCTGGCCCAGACTCGATTATTTACAGACCGCCGTCATATAGCTGGAATATTGTGAGTGCTGGGATATTGCTCACTCCACCGTCGGTTTGTTCAAGACATCAAGGTGATTACCATACAAACCTAAACTGACATGAATGTCACATTTGTATATTTGTATTTTTACAACATTCAGGGATTCATAAACAGAGTATATATTAAAGATTTTGAGGTAGGTCACTTGTTTGTGGCTCCTACTGTCCGTTTAAAGCTAACGTGAACCTCACTACTTGTTTTGCATGCATTGTTGCCTCGTCAAGTACTCACTTATGCTGACAGGATACTAGTTTGTATTAAATTAATTAATTATATATGTTTACAGTCTATAAAGGCTATAAATACTTACTTATAATGGCATAATTTTCTGCACGCAGACGTGCAGGACATGCTTAACTGTTACTGATATTGCTCCGGATTGCGATCCACATTTTTATGCCCCGGGACAAGGGAGGTAACTGAAAGAGTGGGAGCTGCGGTTTTCCATGTGCTTCACTGCGCTGAAGGTGACACGGAACGAAGTTGACAGGTTTTATGGGTTTACTAAAAATACCTTTCCCGAAAACCTGGTGTCATTACTGATTTTCAGTAATCTGTGTTTTTCACAGCGACTTTTTCATTTACGCTGGGTATTATACGTGTTATATTATACCACAAGAGGCGTTATTGCATTGTTAAATGACGTTATCGTTGACCTTAACTGGGTCCGCCCTGAGAGCGGAAGGTCGCGGGTTCGATCCCCGACCGCGTCATACCAAAAGACGTTAAATTATGGTACTTGTTGGTCCCTGCCTGGCGTTCGGCATTAATGGGTACAACAAGGACTGGTCGGCTCGGAGTCAGTATAATGTGTCTGAGTGGAGTATTCATGCTTCACTGCAGCGTGGTATCTCAGTGGGCTAGCACTATAAAACCAGCTTAAGTCTGGGCTAGTACAAACAGCCGCACATACACATACACACGCATGCACGTCGTCATATGAGCGAAATATTCTCAAGCACGACGTTAAACCAAATTTCACCTCACCTCACCTTAACTTAACTGGAGAAATATTGTCTAGCAGCTATTTATTAACTGGCTGCCTGTGTGGTACAAACACTTTGGTTCCTCGTTCACTTGTTACGGTATCGTAATAACATATTTTGTTTTATTCCTGTTGAATGGCACTGCTCCAACAAATAAGACATTAACAGTAGTGGATCAAAGCCCGTTATAAGATATTTGAATGAAGAACAATGTATGACTGGTATAGAATGTATCTGATATCACAAGTAAGTACTCACTACTCTATGTTATGAATCAGAATACAAATTACAGAAGAATTGTTTAGTGCAAATTATACCAGGTGAAGATACGAGGGGCGTGCAAAATATAGTCAGCCTAACTGTATTCTCGATGCTCAATGTTTAAAAAGCTTTCATTTTATTTTGAAGGAATCATGAGCAAAGCCATATCCAAGATTTCATAGCCGTGGGTAATGTGGTTAACGAGATTTTAGTCATCACCACAGATTGGGATATAACATGTCTTACCAAATTGCAGAAATGAAAAACGATCTGTCATTTGGTACCTCACTTCACTTAACAAGCAATTGTAGTTTCAAATTGCATTTTTGTGCACTTTAATATCTAAGTTTGATTCTTGCGGACTTATCTCTTTCTCAAACACACAAACTGTTTCTTGCATATTTTGTTTCCTGAAGTTTGTGCAGATTCTGCGTTTTTGGGGGGTACCAAAATAAAAAGTCTTTTAGAATGGGGATCATGAGACTGGAACAGCAAAACCAATTTGCTTGAGGTTGACAGATAATGTGTAGAAAAATGAAACTTAAAAACACCTGCATTTGTACCATTTTCTAGGTGAGGCTGACTACCTTTTGAGCGCCTCTCGTATATCAAGTTGAGATAATTTTGGTTATACCTGAATATCAGGTAAACGTTATTCAACGAATGTTGTGTAATCAAACTAGGTTATTCAACGGTAGTGACGTCATAATGCCGAACTTTCTGTTGCCATCTCGATATTTTAAATTAATATTGCAACTCCATTCAAGCATTTTTTTACCAGAAATGTCAACCAAACAAAATATGAGGTTTGTGCATAATTGAAATTTAATTTCGGTCTCCTGGGGATTAGTAGGTTTTTTTTCAATTGAATACATTTAATAGTTTTTTTTCATCTATTAAGTGGCATTGAGTTATCTCCCTTTCGTTTTGTTTACATCCGGCATCGCCTGCTTGATGTGTCATCATGGAACACACTGTTTTACCGTCCTGTGTGTAAAAAATAGATCACAAACCTCGTGAATGTTGAAAATGGAAAATATTCCAACTCAGTATTTTGAAACGTTTTGAAATCAAAATGTTTAAAAATATCTTGTTGGAATATTCTCCACATTCAGCATCCACTCGTTTTGTTATCTCTATTTATCGGATGACAACATGCAAACAGGACACCCTCCACTTCCTTGATACCAACGAGTGAGTGAGTGAGTACTGTTTTACGCCGCTTTTAGCAATATTCCAGCAATATCACGGCAGGGAACACCAGAAATGGGCTTCACACATTGTGTCCCATGTTGGGAATCGAACCTGGGTCTTCGGCGTGACGAGCGAACGCTCTAACCACTAGGCTACCCCCACCCCCACCCCACCTTGATACTAGCGCATGTACCACGTCGCTGCATACGCAAAATATGAATCCATATTGTCAGCCTTTAAGTTAAATCTACAAAATTACACTTGAAGATATCATGACATGTTTTAAAATCTTCCTACCTTTAAAAGGTGGGCAGAGATTCCAGACCTTGACAGGCCCACTTTGCGAATACTGCCCAATCACCATCTCCAGGAAGACGCAGGGGATGGCACAAATAACGGTAAAAAGCAGATAGGGTATCAGGAACGCTCCTAAAATTAAATTTGTACCTTAATTAAATTCCTAGTCTGTCCTACAGACCCTGAAACAAATATACACATTGCAGCCCATGCAAATGTAGATTGTGTGGCTAGACTGGATTACCACAGTTTCTGAAAATGAAGAAAGTCTCTGGGCTCACTTTTCATTATATCTTATGATATTCTTTTAAAATAATTTTCTGGAAAAATGTTCTTTTCAGAGACTAGATGTTAGACTATAAAATTCCTAAATGGACAGTGTCATTTCACTCTATACAGCGCGCTGTAAAACTGTAGCCACCAGTATTGGTAACTGAGTTGGGTGTGTCGCCTCTGTTAGTGATATTCCAGCTGGGACTTTCTCTCTCTCTCTCTCTCTGGTCTCTCTCTCTCTCTCTCTCTCTCTCTCTCTCTCTCTCTCTCTCTCTCTCTCTCGATCTCTCTCAAAGGCGCTGTCTGAGTTCACTTTGGATCTAAAAGGAAGCTATGGTAAAAAGATGAGTCTCTCTCTCTCTCTCTCCCTCTCTTTAACTGGTTTTTGAAAGATGCAAATTCAGTGAATGATCGAAGTTCTTGTGGTAGATTTTTCAAGAGTGTTGGACCATTGAAAGAGAATGCTCGGTCACCAAAAGACTTTGTTCTTGTACATTGAATTTGCAGAAGAGAATGGTCACTGGAGCGAAGAGATCGAGTTGGCACATAGGGTTTTACAAGTTGTGAAAGATACTCTGGAGCCAGTCCATAGACGCATTTGAAAACAAGAAGCAATACTTAGTATTGGATTCTGAATTTGATTGGGAGCCAATGGAGAAGCCTCTTCCCATCCACATCACTATCACTATCAACAATATAGTTGAAGTCACCGCATGCTATTAGTTTGCCAGTGACGGTCGTCAAACTTTCCAAAAGTGTATTTTACTCATCGAAAAATATTTTGCCATAATTTGGTGGTCTGTACAACACAATGAGATTATAAACATTGGTTGTCCGATAAGAACTGAATTGGTAGAACTTCAAAGAAACAAATAGTTCCCAAGAGTCAATATCTGCATTTTAAGTTGATTAGCATAAACAACCACAACTCCACCTCATTTTCTAAAGGTTCGTGGCACATGTGTGAATTTGAATCCAAGGGGAACAGGTTTGTGTATTGGTAGATTATCACTGTCATCACCTTTTAACCACGTTTCAGTAGCAGCCAACACATTTAGTTTATTATCCGAAATAAGATTGTTCCCATGTGAGGAATCAAAACCTGGTCTTCGCCGTGTCGAGCGATTGCTCTAATCACTAAGTTACCCACCGCTCCTTGAGTAGTGGTACCAAGCTTCTCATTTAAGGTCAGCGATTGTTTTATGGTTTTGGAAAGGTTTTATGAATATGTTTTCTCGTTTGAATATTCCTGTTCCATCGCACTGACATAATGGATTCTTATAATAATGACATTTTATGGTTAAAAGACATTGTAACGGGACGCTTACCTCCGCCATTTCGCATACAGTAGAAGGGGAACTTGATGAACGTCCCAGATCCGACACTGTAGCCGAGCAGGGTGATGACGTAGTCCAACTTATGACGCCACTGTTGATGCATCCTAATGACTTCTAAACTAAACTGTATAACAGAAAGGATACTCTTTCAACATTTCTGCTGGAGATGGCAAAATCAAAACAAAGTAATTTGGCCAAGAAGTTTAACTTAAGCTTCCGGTACATCGATGATTTAATGTCGTTCAATAACCATCAAATAGCCAATTGCCTTCCACTGATTTACCAACTTGAACTTGAAATTAAGTAGACAAGTGATGCCGCCTCAACCGTTTCATATTTAGATCTATGCATAGAGATTCAAATAGTGACAAAACAATCTCCACAAAGCTGTATCAGAAAAGGAATGATTTCAACTTTCCAATAGTCAACATCATCATGTCCAGCAATATTCCAACAGCTCCAGCCTTTGGTGTTCACATTTCACAACTCTTTAGCTACAATCGAGCATGCTCTGCTTATCAGGATTTCAAGGAGCGTCATGCCACTCTTGCTCAGAAGTTGTTTGATCAAGGTTACATCATTCAAGGCCTAGGTAAAGCTTTCATGAAATTTTATGGTAGACATGTGGAGGAAATTTCCAAATTTGATGCATCAGTGACAATAATTATGTCCGATTCAATTCCCTAATTTGACTTATACCATACGTTCCCGAATTATTTCAGGTGACCAAATGACTAGACTTAGCATATGTTTATGACGGGTGCCACCGATGGGGCAGGATACGCTCACCTTTTGCGAACACCTGATATCATCACTATTTGATAGTGATTCATAAACACATGCTCTGTCATCGTTACCACATGGTGACAATCACTGGATTGTCTGGTTCAGACTCGATTTGTTCACAAACAACATCATACTGCTGAAACAAATATCTGCTCATGATAAAGACACAATTGTACAATCGATTCTGCTTTTGGCAAAGATTTTTAATGAATGCGGAAAGGGTCTTGTCACTTCTATTTGAATAACCAAGAAAATACAGACGGTATCAAAATGCTACAACACTGAAAATAGCCGGAACAACCCAAACGTAAATTTCATGTATCAAATACATCATCAGCGACTAACCCCTCCTTGTTCCCAACAAACGTTGTGTTTACTTTCTTTTTTCCTAACTGTTTCATTGACACGAGTGACACTAACATATTGCCATCCGAGTGATAAGCGTCAGTGCACACAGGCAGTGTTTTAGATCAGGGCTATTACATCCCATCAGCTTACAACCACCTAATTCACAAATACTTATCCACTCAACCCACTCTGGCTTCTCATCAATCTGCCTAACTGACATTCCTCACAACTGGTTCCCACTAATTAATCCCTCACCACTTTGATTTCTGCCTAATTAACATACATTCACTAACTGTCATGGTAATCCTACTCATCTCTTTTATGTTATCTAGCCCATCATCATGATGTTTTAGCTCATCTTGTAACTTTCTTTGATGCATTGTTCTTCCTCATTTGCTATTAATTGTTATCTCCTTATCATATGTACATGTATCTTGTATATAAACTGGTGTACTCCATCTTTCCCCCATCTTACCCCGTCGGCGACATTGGCTACAGCCAGAGGCCGAGGTTAAACAGGGTATAAGAATCTATACCGAAACGTCGCCATTGTTAAAATATAGAAGTTGATCATCCATAAAGTTGTTGTCATCTCCATACCTCCAACTTCTAGAATGCCACTCAAACAAATCAAAGCATTTATGTGATTTTGCCCCATTCAGCAAAAATCCAGATGTACGTATTGCGGTCTTACAATAATATGGTCATCCATTGGTTGACATCATCAGTATATATCTACGCATTTTGGATACCAAGTATCTTAAGACAAGCATGGGTTGCGGAAGACCAATTTTAACCTGAATTTTGTCACAAGGTTCCCAGCAAGTTTTCTACCTATATCATGTTCAACTTTCTTGAAGGGTCGATGGGGTAGCCAAGTCGTCACGCCGAAGAGACGGGTTCGATTCCCCACATGGGTACAATATGTGAAACCTATTTCTGGTGTCACCCGCCTTTATATTGCTGGAATATTGCTAAAGGTGGCGTAAAACTCAACTCACTCACTCACTTTCTTGATACTGGCAGAGACGTTTGGAATACCAAGTCAACCCACAAGTTGCCTACATGTACCATGTACCACGTATGTGACGGGTGCTATTGTGAAACCTGCTGTAGACGTCCAATGTTTAAATGAAATACCAGAACAGCAATGACTTTGCGTGGATAGCATACAATATAATAAATTACCAAGCACAATTTGTTGTATTTTATATAGAAACGTAACTGCATATACAGGCTCGCATCTGAGTTGAGATAAACGGATCACATATTCATTGCACAGTGTGGGAAATACGATCCCTGTCGTTTTATGACAATATATTCCATTTTTGGAAGATTTAAGCATATTTGATAATACATATGCAAGCATAAAAGTGATTACCACTTACAATACAATCACAGCCTACCTGTACATTTAACTCACGGAAAATACTATCTCAGGAAAACTATGATCGCAATTTTGATGAATGGACAAAAAGACAAATAGAAGAAACAACTTTACAGAATATTGCAAATGAAAAAAATTATTAAGCTGTCATCTGTAAAAGGTGAATAATATATTTAAATCTTTTCAATAGTTGTATCATTTTTGTATCGGGTGTATCATCGACAAACGATGGGCTGAAGCGACCTTGAAACAAATTGTCTACGATATGGCGACGAGGCGTTTAGATTTCCTGGCCACATTTTGTAAATGACCATCTCTATAAATCGGTGATGATGTTTGATCGATTACGTGTGACCGTTAGTCATTTTGTAATAAACAACAACCCTCGGAACGGGTGAGCATGTTCGACAAGAATGCGAAGTGCTCAGTCGATTTCGGCTTGGCAATTCATGTCCATGTATCAAGCATGAACCTGCTGCTTCTAAACAGTTCTTGTACCACCTTGATGTTAGCGATCACCAGCTGTCTTTCCATTTCCATGTCCGTTGCGGTCAAAATCAGTGTTCGAAATACCTGCCTGCCCGATATTACGGGTTGTTTTCAACACGTATTTCTTGACCAAACGACGGTGTAGTGAATGAGTTAAGCTTTTCACCGCACTTAGCAATATTCCAACTATATGGCGGCAGTCTGTAAATAATCGATTCTGGACCAGACAATTCAATTTCTGAGCATTTCTGACGACATGTGTCAACCACGTCAACGAACTTGACCATCCAATCAGTTGATCAACAGCATGAGCATCGATCAACGCAACTTCGACACGATGTCAATAAGTGTGTGAATGTCATACGGATACATGTATGCACCCTCAGTACGTATAGCGTGATGGCACATCGCTAGGTACATTTATGAATACCCGTTGGTTACTGGATGGTGAGTGTAGACGGTTGCTATGGCCTGCCACGTGATTAGCAACAGTTGGAATCGCAGGAAATCTGCTGACTGAAATATGGACCATTGAAACGGATGACAAACTAAGTGAATTGGGTTTGTTTTAGCTGTTGTTTAACGCCACACACAGCAACATTCCAGCTGTATGACTTCGACAGCATGAGCATCGATTTACGCAATTGAGACACGCGTCATCCAAGTTAGCGAGCCTGACCACCCGACCCCGCTAGTCGCCTCTTACGACAAGCATGGGTTGGTGAAGACCAATCCTAACCCGGACCTTCACGGGTACCTGACCACCCGACCCCGCTAGTCGCCTCTTACGACAAGCATGGGTTGCTGAAGACCAATACTAACAGGGATCTTCACGGGTGGTGCGCTTGTACTTGTACAGACTAATACCGATTTGACAGCCCTATTCCACAGTGATACAATGACGGATACCCAGCTCAGAGATGGCTCTGACTTAGAGGAGACCAGTCCCTGTTTTAAAGCCGATAACCAGGCAAGGTAAGGACAAGTAGCAACTATTAACGTCGTTTTGGATAACCGGGCCGAGGACTGAACATGCCAACCGTCGATTCTCTGGGAAGACGCGCTTTAAAAAGCAATACCCAATTATGTTCACGTCTCTAATAATATAAATACAAACATTTGCAAGTTCCACGTTTCACATTTGAGAAATACATACCGACTGCACAGGAATGCCGCCCGGAGGAAACCCACAGCTGACGTTTACAAGAAGCGACAGATGTCCAGTATTGTCTGTATCTACAATGTTAAATATGTATGTTGAATACCGTCGGATTAAAACAAGGACAGGCGCGTGATCTGATTTATGCTGCTGTTTGTACCTGACCTGATTAAACAAAACATTAACTAATGTGGTGAGGTTAGGTAAATTAGGTTTAACGTTGCGCTGGAGAATATTTCGCTCATATGACGACGTGCATGCGTGTGTATGTGTATGTGCGGCTGCTTGTACTAGTCCAGACTTAAGCTGGTTTTATAGTGCTAGCCCACTGAGATACCATGCCGCAGTGAAGCATGAATACCCCACTCAGACACATAATACTGACTCCGAGCCGACCAGTCCTTGTTGTACCCATAATTGCCGAGCGCCAAGCAGGGACCAACAAGTACCATATTTTAACGTCTTTTGGTATGACACGGTCGGGGATCGAACCCGCGTCCTTCCGCTCTCCGGGCGGACGCTCTAACCACTACACCACGGAGGCGGTCCATTAACTAATACGTGAATATCATGACAGTGAGTGAGTGAGTTTATCTTAACGCCGCACTCAGCAACATTCCAGCTATATGGCGGTGGTCTATAAATAATCGTGTCTGGACCAGACAATCCAGTGATCAACAGCATGAGCATCGATATATGCAAATGGGATACCATGGAATGCGACAACCAAGTCCGCGAGCCTGACCACCTGATCCCGTTAGTCGGCTCTTACTGAAGATCAATTCTAACCCGGATCTTCACTGGGCAGAGATAAATGAAAGTATCAAAAGTACACATATGTCAGGATCTTATATTGCTAAGATCAGGAAAGATGGTATGAAGTGTTTACCAAAAGCATCAGTTGCTGTTTCTAACAGACTTGATTTTTAAATTGCAATTCTAACGATGAATGAATGAAATCACTCATCTTCAATAAAGTCGCAGCATTAAACAGCAAACAGAAGCAATAAATAATAGGAATCACACTATGAGTCCAATGGCATACTTTTTGCTCATTGATGAATCCATTTCCCTTTTTAACCTATTTGTATCCAGTTATTGTATCCACGTGTATTCAATTTTTAGTAATGTTTCATACCGATTCCCATACTGAAACAACAGATTATGCCATAGATCTATTTCAAAGAATTCAGTGTGAAATAATAACAGATATCAAAGAAATGATGCCCATTTAGCACTTGCATTACAAAAATACTTGGGTTAAGTAGCATAGTCAAGCTTCTAAAACAGGCCAAGGCTGCATAAAATATTTTCTTACAGCCTCTGGCATTGATGTAATGTGACATGAAGGAGGAATACGCTTGCCCATCGGCGCACCTTACCACCTGATCCCTTTAGTCGTCTATTACGGAGTGAAGGAGTGTGTGAGTTAAGATATCTAGTCCCATCGGCAGCATTTCAGCCATATAGTGACAAAAACAAGTTATACATCCATGACACATGAACCGAAAATCTAAAACCCTGTTGACGAGCTACATTAAAAACAACCAGAAAATCACAGATACAGATGTAAAACTAGCATGTAAATTTAAAACTATAGACATTACAACAATAATTAAAAAGAAATCGGAAGACAAGCTTCAGACTGTCAACAACTAAAGGTAGATCACCATACTAGGAAACACTGGCCTCCGGCATGGACCCCATGGTACTTTAGCTGGATTTACACCATGTGCTATTTATCTATGTACAAAACATTTATCAAAACGTTTCAAACAATTCAATTTAACACTTAACAATTTTTGAATTATTGATCTCTTGGAACTGATCAATCAATACAGACAAGCAGGAAGGAGGGTTGGGTCGCAGAAGACCAATTCTATCCCGGATCTTCACGGTCCGATATTTGTGAAATGCTTTGTCCATGAAGCATGCATTGAATGTCAGGCAACAACACTGTGTATTATTATGCATTTAGTGAATACATGGTCCAAACAGCCAGTTGCAATGCTAAGCAAAACAGTAATTAATCATCACGACATATTTAAGCTTTGCATACGCAATGGCAGAGGTGATGAAATGTGACAAAATATGTCCTATCTCTCAAGGTCCATTAACATTTAATAATATTGCGTGTTGTGATAATTATGGATTTCCTATGAACTTTCAGGTCAGTCATTGGTGACACTTTGTTCAAAGACGTTATTAATGAATACAATAGGTAAAGTATCTTGTGCCATAAGCATTGTGTTATGCAGAGTTACCGGGTGAAATTAATGTGTTACAGTCATGTCAGTATACAAAACACGTTGAACAATACATCACAATATTATTCAGTTACATGAAAGTCCGTTGGAGTAAATGTAAGCTACACTGGTCATAACAATATGATTTTACTATATACTGAACAACAAAAGTTTAGCACATTTGTGGAAATTGTATTTAATTTTCAACAAGTAACACTTGATGCTATAATTCATCACGCATAGAAATAGAGTGACGATTTGACCGCACAATGGAAGTGTCAAAAGACGTGTTCAATCCAGGACGTCAAGCTTACGTTATACAGTGTAGGGTAGGGGTGGAACGTTCCAAATGACAAAAACGAGGTAATAGCGTGTGTGGGCTCCACGTGCGTGAATGACGGCTGTGCAGCGTTGTCGCATACTGCGAATAAGGGTGTTGATCTTGACGACTGTGATGTTGTTCCACTCTTGCCGCAGGGCCTGCTCAAGTTGATGGATGTTCACCATATTGGGATGATGATGACGCACTCGTCTGCCAAGGAGGTCCCACGCATGCTCGATAGGGGACAGGTCTGGTGATCTTGCAGGCCAGTCTAGTACCCGGATGTCGGATGCCTGCAAGAGCTGCGTGGTCAATCTTGCAGTATGAGGTCGTGCATTGTCCTGCTGGAACAGGAACTGTGGCCGATTCTACATGAATGGAATGACGGTTGGTGTGATGATTTTGTCGCAGTAGCGCTGAGCATTGAGCCTTCCAGCGACTACAACCAAGTCTGTTTTCCCGTTCAAGTTGATACCAGCCCACACCATCACGCTACCTAAACAGTAGCGGTCCCGTTCAATGACGTTGGCGGCGTCATACCTTTCCCCTCTTCTCCGCCATTCCCGAGCTCTACCGTCCGCAAACTCCACACAGAAGCGTGATTCATCACTGAATAATGTTTGGTTCCACTGTTGTTGTCGCCACCGTTGATGGATCTGCGCCCACCTCAATCGTTCATTCAAAGGACGTGGGGTTAATGGCACGCCTACAACCGGACGTCGGGCACGTAGGCCTGCTGCATGGAGACGCCTACGGACTGTCTGGGGGTGAATGTGTGTACCCGTAGCTTGCCGCAGCTTGGCCAGACGTGGGGCGCTTGTTAACCTGTGTCGTCTTGATGATGTCACGATGTGGCGGTCTTCCGGTGGGGTGGTAGAACGAGGCCTTCTTGACCTTGGTCGGTCTCTAACTTGGCCAGTTTGTTGGACCCGTTGCCGCAGATGAATAATTGTGCTGTAATGCACTTGGAAGTGCCTGGCGACGTCTCTTACTTGCTGGCCAGCACGTAGGGCTTCATTGCGTTCAATCCGAGGGCTTCATTGCGTTGATTTTCTGGCATTCCAGGCCGACGACCAATGCTTCAAACTGAACAATTCTTTGCGGTTTCTGTACACTGATACTCCAGTGTGTCATGTCAACCCTTTTATACACCCCAGTTTGCATGATTTTTCTGCCGATGGGCATAAACACGATATGCACGTGCACCATCCTGGTTTTTACAACGGTCCAACAATCGAGTAAAGTCTGATGGCACTCAAGTGTGTCATCATGTGTTCACCTTTGGGCCCAAATTTCAGTATTTTGTCTCATATCATTCTTTTGTATATAAATGTTACAAAAATGTGCTAAACTTTTGTTGTTCAGTATATGTTACCTGTTTTGTTATGTTGACTGTTACAGATTTCGTGGCACTCTCACTTCAAATATCTCCTGAAATGACATGTTATGTTTCCAGAATAATTCATTCAACGATTTTCTTTATAATCACGTAAATGTATTTCACAGGTGGTCATATGCATTTCACAATGTATATCATCATTATGGGGTTTTTACCATGTTTGCCGTGACAACAAGAATCTACCATGTTTGCCATGCAACAAGAACCATACCATGAACCTACCATTTTGCCATGCAACAAGAACCTGCCTACCATGTTTGCCTACCATATTTGCAACAAGAACCTACCATGTTTGCCAAGAACCTACCATGCCAAACAAGAACCTACCATGTTTGCCATGTAACCAAGAACCTACCATGTTTGCCATGCAACAAGAACCTACCATGTTTGCCATGCAACAAGAACCTACCATGTTTGCCATGCAACAAGAACCTACCATGTTTGCCATGCAACAAGAACCTACCATGTTTGCCATGCAACAAGAACCTACCATGTTTGCCATGTAACATGCACCAAGTTTGTTTGCAAAAGAACCTACCATGTTTGTTTGCCATGCAACAAGAACCTACCATGTTTGCCATGTAACAAGAACCTACCATGTTTGCCATGCAACAAGAACCTGCCATGTTTGCCATGCAACAAGAACCTACCATGTTTGCCATGCAACAAGAACCTACCATGTTTGCCATGCAACAAGAACCTACCATGTTTGCCATGCAACAAGAACGGGTCATCAGCAAGCCATGCTTGTTGAAAGACACTAATGACGGCATCGGATGGTTAGAGCTGACTTGGTTGACACATATCATCATATGTCCATATACACGAGCTAAGGGTGACCACGATAACGGTTGTTTCAAGGCGTTGCCTCACAATTACCAAAAAACGCGTCTCACGACTGTTGTTCCGCACACTACCTGCGATCAGTGTGTCAATATAGCTTGAGATAGACACTGAAAGCAAAACCTAGACAATCAACACCAGATGTGATAACAGAATCCGTATGAGTTCAGAGTGAGCCTCGGGGTGTACTAGGCCCTGAAGTTTCGGGCTGACTTGGTTGACACATGTCATTGTATTCCAATTGCGTAGATATTGATCGCTGGGTTGTCTGATCCAGACTATTATTTACAGACCGCCGCCATATAGCTGGAATACTGAGTGATGCGTTAAACAACAAACCAAACAACCAAGTGAACAATCCACTGATCTGGTTACAAGTATGTTCATTGTCAAATTTGGTATTATTATTAGAAATTATGTATCCTTGTGCAATAAGTATCAAAAGATCAACGTTTTTCAGTAATCCTTTGTCATATGTTACCTCCAATTATCCGCATTAAATTGTATCACATTTTGATAATGGTTGCAATGTTATCTATGCCTATTCAGGTACTTCGATAATTTCAAAACACAAGCTGCATATAATGAAAGGAAAAATTGTATCATTAATGTATTTACACAGACAATGAGCAGGTGTAAATGGCTTTACAACTTGAGAGACAAATCAAGTTAAACAAGTGTAAGTTTCTGAAAACCTTTCCATATTTGTTCAACTTAGGGAATTGATGAGTGAAAAGTTATTGTTGTTAAGAACAATGAGAACATATTGTTACATACATGTTAACTGACCTTTAAAAAATATCCTATTCACTTTCGGGAATCATGGTTACCAAGTATTCGGCAAATGCAATCAGTTTCTTCTTTAAATGACATTATTCACACTTTTTAACAGTTCTGACTTAATTGCTATAATTTTTTTCACTTAATAATTATTTTTATATGTCTTGCAATATATTGACAAGTGGCGTCTAGCTGTGACGAAAATGGCATCTGTCCAATCACACATGTTCTGCTCATGGTTGTTGCAGTTTCATGTACATGATAAACAATGTTACAGTAAACACATATTGCACAAATAAGAAGACTTATAAGTATAGCTTACAAATATATAATTTAGACAGTTAATATTCAACTGGAGAAGTACCTGTATATTTCAGGTGTTCCCGTGTGGGACATACACAATTTGGCATCATACACACATTAATGAATACTTATCTTTAAAATATCAGTTTTCATGCACTAAAATATTATGTTAATTAATTCAAACAATCTGAAATTATATTTCTTGAAATGTTGACTTTAAACAAGTTTTCATTATAATAACTAAAGAAATCTATGTTCGGGACACCTGTTGTGGTCCAAATTATGAAATAATCCACCTATGATTTTGTGTTTATAGAATTTCGTCTTCCTTTTATACCCTTGGATGATTTTTTTGTGAGTTATCCAAGCACGTACAATAATGATAACATGTACATCCTGATAAAAGCAAATATTTGGCCGATGCTGATCAAGTACTTGGAAGTGTACATATTTTGTAGCAAATCGTGCACTTGTCCGAGATATTTAGCCCAACAAGGAGCTAACCACACCGCCATTGCGAGAACCTTCGGCTGCACCCGCGCAACTGATCAGACTGATGCAGCGCCTGAGACAAAAAGGCAATACGTCAGACAGGCCTAGGAGTGGTCGACAAAGTGTGGCACCGCTCGATGATGATCACATCCGGACGATTCATCTGAGAAATCGTTTTGTAACGGCAACGTCAACGGCAGCGACGAAACTAGGACACCGTATCAGTCGACATACAGTGTACCGGCGTCTAAGAAAATAATGAGAGAATCTGACTCTTCACAACCGACGTCGCCGATTGACATGACCTGGCGAGTTCGACGTTGGCAGATGTGTGATTGGCGACGTGTGATGTTCACAAGAGTAGGTTTTGCCTGTACAGTAATGACCGGGCTCGTGTTTACAAACGAGTAGGTGAAGGTTTAGCGCCGAATTGTGTTCAGCAAGTCCGAACCGTTTGGAGTCGAGAGCTTGATGGTGTGGGGATGGATCTACGGGTATCTCATAAACGAGTCTTGTGATTAATCATGGCAACCTGAATGCTCGAAGATATAGGGCTGAGGTTTTGCGACCAGGTGTGCTGCCATTTATGCAGCAACAACCACGTGGCATTGTCAACCATGTTAACGCCAGGCCTCATACAGCAAGACTGACAAACGACCTTCTGCATAGCGTTAACATCGTTGTTTTGCCGTGGCCACCTGTCACCGCTCAATAACTGGAACAAGTTCTACAGGAAAGGCATCGGATCACGCCCAACGTCATTCGCCGTGCTGCGTCATCAATGCTTCGACGTGTTTGGGCGGGTATTGAAGCCAATTGTCGTCACGCTCACTATTAGTCAACATTTGATGACATTCTGCCTTGTTGATTTGTGTAAATGGTCAGACTATGATACCACGTGTGATACTTTCCGTGTCAGTCAAACGGTACTTTCGACTTTGTATGAAATGAAATTGTGTGCATTTGCTGTAGAGTTGAATACTCTATTGAAATTAAACAGATGTTCGTTTATATATGCTTTGTTTTTCTTTTCAAGTTTTGTCAAACACACTGTATACTAAATCACTATGCAAAGTTTCTTTCAAATTTTACTTGATATCTGTAAATGAAAAACCTGGGGACCTTCAATGCTATGCACCCTATTTGGGTGCGCTCAAGAATCAAGTCTAAAATCATACATTTTAATTATTCTCTCACAAATAATGTATTGTTTGTTCGAGTAAAGAAGGAGAGAATGTTTATATGAAAAACCTGCACATTTAAGGTAGATAGTTTTCAAAATTTAACACTGACTTTGCTAAATGTCTCAAACCCGCCGCCATTTTGATTTTTCACACGTCAAAATCTCCTGACACCGACTCAAGTCCAAAACAACTACTATATCCTTGCATACTACTATCTCTCTAGCAGCTCAGCAATAAATGTATTTTTGTCAGGATAACTCTGAATGGGGATTAATGGGTTAGTTTGTTTACAAGAGTCCAGGGTTGTTTTGTTTTTTGCGTTACAAGCCCTCTGTACTCTGTTGATTAAAGTGGAAATCGCCTACTGTGGCGTCATGAAGTATATGTAACTCAAATGCCTAACTCCAGCAGCAATCCCATTCGGACGTAATGGGAAGATTCTCTTTTCTTTGCCATTGTTAAGAGTACAGGGCCCGGTTGTTCAAAGCACCGTTATTTTAACGTACCGTTAAACACTAACGACCCGTTAAATAGCTAACGAAAAGTTAGTTAACAGTACGTTAAAATTTGGTAAGGTAACAGGCCGTTAACTAATGGTATGATTAGAGATTAACAGCCTGTTAAGGACCTAACCATTACCCACAATTCCTTGCACACTGTCCCATGATTCCCTGTCAAAATGGCATCGCTATCAAAAGCACCTGAAATGATCACCTCAGTAACATCTGACTATAAGAAAAGAAAAAGAAGAAAAGATTTCAGCACCGATGAAGAAAATGTAATTCAGTCAATGTATCAAAAAAATGCTGAAATTTTAAGTATAAAATTCAGCAATGAGGTTACAAATAGGGCCAAGGCTGCCATCTGGCAAAAAATAACAGTTGCGGTAAACAACAAAGGCGTCTGCTGTCGTGATGTAGAGCAGGTGAAGAAAAAATGGGGAAACATGGCCCAAAAAGCTAAAAAGACATTTACTGACTACCGAATGCAGCAAAGGAAGACTGGGGGTGGACAATTCAATGAACAAGACAATTCTTTTAAATATGTGTGCATATACATTTCATAAAATCATTTTCATTAGTTTTATCAGATCAATTATAAGGTTGAATTAAATCGCTGTTCATTAACATGTTCATATGAAACTGCAATATTAGTCTCAACTTTCAAAGAATATAAAAACGTATACCCTATAATCCAAGTATGATATGATATTGAACAAGGCTAAATGTAAGTTAGTTTCATGAAATTAGTTTCATGAAAAAATATCTGAATAATACGCAAACTATACATCATAATACTGAAAGTGTAATCGGAAGGATAGGGCGATTGTGTTTACTTACCGACCTACACCTCAAAGAAATTGTCTAATATGTA